ATTGGTGACCAGAAGTATACTGACCAATGTATAAGATAGCGTGAAGCAGTTGACAAATTGCAAAATTTATGTGAGGATAGTACAAAAATCACAAATATTCCAAAAAAAGAAAAAAAAGCTGGGATTTCTGTCATCAGAAAATGCAAATTACGTCATTTACTGTAGAGGACGGCTGTCTAGCTACGTTGAATGGTGAGAGCAGCGGTTATCTTTTAAATAAACAAGAAATAAATTAAAATGTTTTTCCCCGTAAGGCATTATACCACAGGAAAATACAGAAGTATTGACCTGTGTGTATGTGTGTGTGAGTAATTGTGTGTGTCCGCGTGTGTGATTTTCCTGTGCTTCGATGATATGTGGTCTCGTATGATACCCTTAAATAAAAACTGTTGTAAGAAAGTGAAGTACATGCAAGCCTAGTTCCTTATTTTGACCACCTCTGAAGCCGAACAATTCGTTGGGGCTTCTTTGGTGGTCATCTTATCAACGTTTTACTGCATCATAGTTAAACCAAGATTCAAAATAACGAATGGTGCAGCTGGAATCTACAGATGCTGTGTTTTATCAGTGTAGTGCCAGCCGAGCTCCGCCGTTTTCAAAAAATGTGCGTTTCACTTTTTTTTATTGTCAATAAAAGTTTAATAACATTGTCGAAATTCTTAATTCTTATGAAAATTGCATAGGAAGTCCAAAAAATGATTTGCCAGCTTAATCCTCCAGGGAAGGCAAATAGAATTCATTCCCTACAGAAAAAAAACTTTCTTGCAGTTCATCCTTCCTGTCTTTGCCACTGATTGGCTCATTTAACATTAATCTTGCTGGGTGCACCGCACGTAAGGCAATAAAGCGAAATTAACTTCCACATCCGTACTAGCTCATTGCAAAATTCCGCTTTGCGCTTCTCAAATTGTTGAAACTAATGAATTCCGCTTCATGATAGCTCGGTCGGAACTACTTTCGGAGTTTCCAAGGTTCACAAAAGGAAATCCGATGCATGCTAAGGTGAGTGATACAAATAACAAACGATATTGAGTTTGACCTTTAAATGAGCAATTCGATTTGAGTTTTTGCTGGCGCTCCGTTACGAATGCTTCGTTTCGCAGCCGATTGCCGATAGCAAATCATTTTCGCATATTCTTTCAGCGTCTTCCGGAAGCGGCTTCCGAATGCGTAATAAATGAGGAAATTGCAGGACGAATTTACCACCACCATCAGATTTGACAAATCAATCAAATATGAGTTTATATAACCAAACAGCAATTCCAAAAAATTCACCGTTAGTGGCTAAAAATAAAACAGTCGTTTTTCCTACGGTTATTTAAAGCAAATTATTTGCTTTCGTGAGAGGAAAATAAAGGAGCGGTGAATAAAATTAAGAATCTTTGTAGTCGCCAAGAGCATATCCTTCAAATTTTCACACTACTTCCTGCAATGAATAACGTAACAGAGTTCTTTTGCATTCGCCAAAAGGATTGTGTCCTCATCTTTCTCGCTTGACAAAGACTAGTTGATATGCTATGACCATCAAAACTGACCATCAAACGATCTAGTGCTAGTCTTATCGAAAAGCACAATAATCACATCTCTTAAGTCACATCAGTGAATAACATTTTCATTTCGTTTGTCCAAGAGATATGAACACTGAAACGCTTCTCGAACCGAGAACAGTAATCGCACTAGCATCAATTCTTGCCCCACTACCGGCTCTTGGCTAATGACTGCTGCTTCGAAAACAGGCAGTCAGGCTTCTCTAGCAAAGATGAGGGGTAAGTTGCCTACGGATTTAAGCCAAAATCCGCTTTCTGTTTCCAAACACTTTATTGGGACAAAATCCAACGTGAGAATTTTTTTACGCATCCAGCTCACCGAAATCTGATTCGTATTTATCTTCGATATCCACATCCCGCCTTCAAAAATTTCAGCACCACTATATTGTCATTTAATCCCTGTGTGTGTGCACTGGTTCATTCATTAAGCTTAATTTATTTTCCTTTGTCTAGGTGATATTTCCTTAAGCTAAGGGGTCTAATTAGATGGTGCCGATATTGAGCAAGAGGAAGCGGGAGCTCACTGACAGCATAAGAATGCGAAGTGACTGAAAACAATTTAGTAAAGCAGGCTTTAAATTGCATGAATTCAAGCAAAAATGAAGAAACGTCTTACCAGTACATTGCACGTGATGA